ACTGAAATATTTTACAGAAATTATCCAGGTTCAACAAAATTTAGCTAGCAGAGAGATTGGCTGGAGCTGCAATCTGCAGTCACGTTATTTCTCAGTCCCTCCGCGGGGAATGCCCTTCTATGTCCTGAAGCCCATCAAGGAATATTTCTTTATTACTGAAAAAGATGGCAGAAACATTTGTATTGTCTGGAATTAACAGGATTTGGGGGTTTCTTCTTAAGTGGAACTGCAAAATTATTGCTCTCCTCTAGGGAATATCAGAATTTGGGCAGATTAGTTTAATAAAAAGAAGTCCCATGATCACTGACCAGAATCTGAAGGCCAGCACCATACAGAATGATTTAGAACTCCTGCTTGTATTAGTATTTGTGTGGTGATTAAAGAAGAGCTTGTCCAAAAAATGCAAAACCTGCTTCTGTTCTGATTTTTTTCTACTTGGGAAGGAATAGGATCAGAATTGGATAGTTGAAGTTTTTAACCCACATGTTTGTAATATGGGCACATCAGTTTGTCAGAATAGTATTTTTTTTCCCCAAATTCATTAATATTGCACAAATGTTGTTCAAAGATGAGCATCTTTGTATTATATTATCCTGCCATAACAAGGAGTATAATTTCATTTACTGCTAATTTTGAGACTATCACAGGGCAACAGTGCTGGTAAAGAGGACAGTCATAGTGTATACTAACATCAGCAATTTAATGCAATAGAGGAATTCATAAAAAGGAATTCATCTTAATCTATACGTGCTGTCAAATATACACAGTGAAATATATACATACCCACTGCTACTCTTAAAGCAACTCTTTTACCTCTGAAAAATCGGTTTTACTCCAGCAAAAATATTTTGACAAATTTCAAACTTGAAACTGCATACTGTACTTAAGTAATAGAGGAAAAAAAAATTCGACTTCCTCAAATGTTTTCTGTTAGTTTTATCTTTAAGTTGTAGTTTGATTGTGATTGTGCAGCTGTATGAGATCATAAAGCTTTGCTTTAGGAGGGCCACAGGTGGTAAAGTCGCAGCTTCTGAAGTATTACTCTCTCCTTCCATCCTCAGTAATCCCCTTATTTATTACTTACCCATTGTAATCTGTCATTCTGGAATGCTGTTAGATTTTGTGATTCAGTGATTTTTAGATGCAAACAATGAATTGTTTATAGAGTCGTTTTGCTTTTCAACTTCTAAGTGAGGTCATCAATCTAAGTAATCATCTAACATCTTTCTAAAGCAGCAAATTACCGTAATGTCAAGAAGCTGTCCTTATGTTGGACACTGATGGGTATCAGAGAGGTTTGAAAGCAAGACCCCTAATTCTGTAAATAAATAAAAGAACTGGGGAATTGAAATGACATGCCACACAGTTAGTCACAGTATGCAACAGCAATAAGCTCATCCAGACTTTGGATTCTGTTGATGTTTATTTTCTTGACTAATATGAGGAGTTCTTGGAAGGACTACCTTTCAGATAGTAGTGACAACTTTCCCTGCACATTCTGCTTAAGTAATATCAGTTTGAATAATGCATCACTAAGAAGTATGTCCCAGGGAGCTGTGTTAGAAAAAGTAGGTATAATTTCAAAACATTTACGTATCACAGAGATCATATCACAGAGTTCCTCGTACAGGGATTCTTTCCTGTGTCTACTTCTTTATTGTTATAATTCAAATTATATAGGTAACTCCAAATATTTTTGGCAAAGCTAAAAGCTACTCTATCAAAAAAATGGTAAGTTAATGGAAAGTTATCAGAGTTTAACGAAGTTGTCTAATGGGGAATATAGTGCTGCTATGAAAATTTTATTGATGACTTAAAAATACTGTACAGTGTGTATTCATTCACAATACTTAATCATTCCTTTTTTTGTATTGACAGAATGTTCAGCCAAGCATTGACTGACACTCCCAGGTCCATTTCTTCCACACAGTCTTCCAGCCACTCTGCCCCGACCCGGTAGCATTCCCTGGGGTTGTGGCAAAAGTGCAGAACCTGGCACTTGGTCTTGTTGAACTTCATCCCATTGGCTTCAGCCCAGCAATCCAGCCTGTCCAGATCCCTCTGTAAGGCCATCCTACCCCCCGGGCAGGTTGACACTTCCTGTCAACTTGGTGTCCTTTGCAAACTTGCTGAGAGTACACTCAATCCCTTAAAATCTCTTGAAAAAAATCCAAGTAGAAGCATTTGTGGTGATTCATCTACCTTATTTCAATTTTCACTTGTTTTGCAACAAATGGAGCTAGAGTAGGAACTAGTATCTGGAGTTCTCTAGGGTGGTTCTGCTTGTACTGGCAGCAGGATGGGATCAGAGTCAATTCTTTTCTACCTTTGTAATCATAGAGATTTACAGAATAATGTGTTCTGAGGTGTTACCAGGTAGGTAGAATTGCCAGGGAAGTCCTGATGATGCTAAAAAAAAAAATCCAGGATCTTGTGTTAGTCAAAATTGAGTTTTGTGCAGGTTGCTTTGTGGTCTTCTGTATTAAGCTGAGATTGGAAAAATTTGAGTCCTTCTAATGCTTGAGTAATATGAGAATTTATTCTAATATGAATCTCTATGTAAGGATGTAAGAAACACATAAATACATTGAAAATTTTATGGGAAACTGAGGCCTAGATATGTAAAATTCATCCACTCACCCACCCGTCAATCTGTCTAGTTCACTCAGCTGTTTCCTTCTACAAAGGCAAATAATGAAATAGCTTTTTTTAGTAGATCCATTGGAACGGTATTTTTTTTTCTATGAGGCATAGTGTTTACTTAAATATTTAACATAATTTCATGAATATAATGAGAATCATGTAGATTGTTCATGTCTAATTGCATTGGGTTTGGATTTATGAAATCATATAATGGAAATGGGTTACAAAATCTGGAAAATTCTGATGGAGTATGAGAATCTCCTACCTACAATGGAGCTAAATTTTGCATGAGTGCAATATAAACATGGAAGTCTGGAGTAATTTTTCTTTTAATAATACACAGGATGGCTGCAGAGGAGAATGTCTTATCACTTCTGGTTCTGTGATTTCACGTTTGTCTTTATAAGCTTGAATATATGCTTGCAGTATGCATGCATATTTATGTAATACAGGACGACAGGGCAAATATAAAGCAAATGGAAATTGTGTGGTTTGGAGATTTTCTTCCATTACTTTTGAAGTTAGTTTTCTCCTTGTTTGAATGTCTTTATGATAGTAGCATGAAAGTGAAGATGAGAACAGCATGAACAGAAGTTTGCTTCTGTTTTACTGTTGTCTTTTGAAAAGCTTGTTCTGCAAGCTAAATTTTTAAAGGATTTATAACTAGAGCATACAGACTGGCTATAGAGCTACAAAGGATTTGTAGAAGTCATTTTCAAAATTAGGTGTCTTTTAAGTTTTACTCTTTTGTTGCCCTAAGGAGTTTTGAGTTCTATGGAACTGCCTCCTCAGGCCAGAGTTGTTATGAATTTATATTAAGCCTTCTGTCATAAAAGGAAATAACAGTAATTATTGGGGGAAAATAATTTTTTGGAAGATGGATTAAATAGGTGTGAAACTCGCGAGATGTGAAAATTGGATAGGGCTAATATGGAGGTTCTGCTTGGTTTCAAAGGTTAATTGAAAGATTCATGTAAAGCTGCTGCAGAGAGTGAGAATACAGAGTAAAAGATACTTCTTTCAGGATATATTTATTTCCTTAAGGTCTTATTTCAGTGCATTCTGAGAATTCCTGGACTCTGCAAAATTGTGTTTTCTTATTCTTTTTATGTCTGAATAAATTGAAGTTAAAATAACCTTTATGCAAATGACAACTGTATTGCTACAAACCATCTCTTCAGAGCAAAATCTGTGCTCGAGATCCATAGGAGCCTGAAGAAGGATAGTGGATCTCTTGAGATACTCATTAAAAAGCCAGCAGTTACAAGGCCTATTTTTGTAAATTACTATCAAGACATTGCAGTTAGTTGATGCAGGAGGAAAGCCTGAAGACAATACTTGCCTTAAATACTGGATATTTATTTTAAAAAGTAATAGAGAAGGAAGAAATATTCATGTGTGTATTTCTTCTGGTGGGTTGCCTTTGGCTAAGGGCCAAACTCCTACTCAGCCGCTTGTTCATTCACTGTCCTCAGCGTGACAGGGAGAAATTATGATGAAAAAGCTTGTGGGTCAAGGTGAAGGCAGGGAGATTGCTTGCCAGTTACTGCCATATGCAAAACAGACTTACGGAAAATTAATTTGATTTATTGCCAATTAAAATGGATTTGGCTTATGAGAAACAAAAAGATGCATTTAGATCACACTTTTCCTCCCCTTTTCCCAGGTTCAACTTTACTTCTTCATTCCAGATTTCTCTACCCACGCCCCCAAGCAGTCAGTTTGTAACAGTTCCTCTGGCTGGTCCATCGTGGCTCTCCATTGGCTTTGCTTCTTTCAGGAAATACTCACCTGCTCCACTGTACTCACATAGTCTTCTTGGTTTTCAGTGGATGCTGTGGTCCTCTCACCTCGCAGTGGCACAAAATCTGATCCAGTGCCCGAATCACCTCCTTCTCTAAGTATGGTTTTCCTTCTGCTATTTTCGCTCTTTTCCTCTACCTGCCTTACATCTCTCCTCTTTCTTAAATGCATTTTTCCAGAAGTGCTGTCAGATTGGCTTTTGGGCATAGCTGTGTGCACTGGAGCCAGATGGAAAAGCCTGTGTCCAGTATGGGGCAGCCCATGTCCTCTTCTTGCTAAGGCCAATCCTGGCAACCGCCCTGCCACCATCACCTTGACACAGTGCAATCCTGTTCGTTTATTTAAACCATGTACAATTCATTTGACTGTTTTCTAAAGGCTAGTTCTAGTTATTATATGCTCTGGAATGATACGGTTGGACCATAGATGCTGACTGTTCAGCAAAGCTACTCTTTTAGTTAGGGCAGTGTTCTGTATATAGTGAGAATTAATATTTTCATGTATCTTATCAATGGAATTTGCCTATGTTTTTGTTCTGTTTTTCTACAATTTAGATTGCAAGGAGATAATATGGCAGAAAGGCCAGAAGATGTCTCCATGGTATCTCAAACTTCAGAGCCAGCTATGTCAGACTCTGATGGTAAGTTAGATATTTGCTGCACATCAAAAAAACAAACAACAACATTTTGTATTTTAGAGTTAATGTTATGTCTACAAGAGAAAATTAAATGTTTCCAAGGTTGTTACTGGGCACATGAACTCAGTCATGTACACTTAAATCTATTAGAAATGTCCATAATGTAGTTTTGGCTATAGCCCACATTAGCACTCCAAAATAATTCTTTGCTGTATTTTGGAAATGTCTCAGGTCAGTAGTTTTGGGTCAGTATCTTAGTAGACAGTTTTTATGTTAGCACAGAATTTTGGATGTAACATAGCTTAGTAGTATAGACATGTCTTGTCCATTGGCAACTGGCCTGTATGCTAAATAATGCTGTCTTTGGAATATTTAATTTAGTAGTACAAATTCATTCACAGAATTGAAACAATATATAGGAAAAATAAAGATTTGAAGAATTTCTCTGCATTTAAACTCAGTATCAAAAGTGCTTCAATGGTCTCCCTTAGCACTGCTGGCAAGAATTTAAAACATGATTCAAAGGAGTTTTTACAAAAACTGAGAACAATTTATTTTCCTTGTGTGCACATAGCTACATGTTGTGCTAATTTAGTCAGGACACAGCCCAATTTCAGCTTCTACTCTGGTTCTTAACACCTAAAATCTAATGGAAAAAGCACGTTCTAGGGGATATCTTGCCAGAGAATGCCCTGCTTTCTTATGAAAGATTGTCTTGATGAAGGTTATCTTAGCTGTCACTGAAATGGAGATAGGAAAGCATATTGTTCTGTCTCTTCTACTTCAGGGCAGAACAAGAGGAGTCTATTAACTGGAGGATTTGATTTGTAGTTTCATCTTCAGTAGCTGTAGATAAGTTAGTCATGTTGATTAATTAATGTAAAAGAAATTGTAACTGAGAAAGTTTTGTTATTTTGAATTGTTCTGCTAAATGTCTATTATTTAATGCCGCTAGGTGTGAGGTCATCCTGAGCTTTTATACATTTTCACGTTTGTAAAGCAACACGTCAATATTGGTAACTAATTTGTCTTCAAATATACTGATTTTGTGAACATACATGGTGTAATGCAGTTACACAATTCATTTTTCCTTTCATTTGTCATTAATTGCTTCATTAAAAAAATTGTTAGTGCAATAAAAATCTCAGAATATCACGCTCTTACCAGTTTGATGAAGTTCATCAGTGAGAGAGACCCAGATTGCTAACGTAACTGAAATCCTTTCAAAGGAAGGCAAAATTCTTCTCATGAGGGCAATCCCAAGGCGAGGAGATAATGGTGGCTTGTTTGGGATGGGTCATGGAATATATACAATGGAATATCAAACAATTTGTTTTGAACAGGCAGATCTCTGCCTTCATTTTCCTTTCACATGTACCTTTGTTACTGTAGTGGAAATATACTGCTATGCCACCCCCTGAAACTGGAGGCTCATTATTTTTACTGGGAGCAGACCATCAGTAAAATGGTAGCTTGTTGCACAATCATAGGGACGAAGGCACTAAAGATTGAAGAAGATGGAACTGTCAGAAGATCCTGGATGCTGACTAACAATGAAGCTGTGGGTGGAAGCTGTGTTTTTCATGGTCACAGAGTATGGACCACAAGAGTACCGTAGCCACTTTAACTTGGACCACCTTACATGCTTCTGTATATACTAAATATGATTAAAAGGGGGAGGAATAACCCTTTCCCTAAAGACAGGGCATAAAACTTAGGTAGGTGAGGCAACGAGATTCGTGTTGTTATTTCTCGTCTATCTCATGTCTGTAAATACACATGAACCTGTTAGCTGTATAGCTAGTAAACAGCATTGCCTCTAGGGCAAAAAGACTGAGGTCAACAGTAAGGTACTGCCAAATTTCTGACAAGAGGCTTTCTCAGAAATGTTCAGCCTTTCAAATTTTTTTTGTTTTGTTTTGTTCTCTTGGTTGTTTTTTTTTCCTAAAATGTTGGCTAGTGATATATTTTGATTAAAGAAAGAAAGAAGGAAAGAAAGAAAGAAGGAAAGAAAGAAAGAAAGGAGGAAAGAAAGAAAGAAAGGAAGGAAGGAAGGAAGAAAGGAAGAAAGGAAGAAAGAAAGAAAGAAAGAAAAAAAAAAAAAAAAAAAATAAGAAAGAAAGAAAGAAAGAAAGAAAGAAAGAAAGAAAGAAAGAAAGAAAGAAAGAAGGAAAGAAGGAAAGAAGGAAAGAAGGAAAGAAGGAAAGAAACACTTCTGGATTTTACAAGAAGGCACAGACTAGAAACAGATGTAGAACCCAGGCAGCTGCCTATTCTGTCTTTCCTATAAATGCAGCACAATTCTTGTTTTCTGTGTATCTAAAACTAAATATGTGAAGAAGATGATAAAATATATTGTTAGAAAACTCTAAATAGCCAAAGCATTGTGTTAGACTTCAAATTTTAGTTATGTCCTAAATGTATGTATTATATCATAAAAAAGACTAGCAGGTTTCAATTACCAGGTTCATCTGAACTTATTTTCTGCTCTTACTTGTTGATACGAATGACCTAACTCAGAAAACTATGAGTTGCTAAGTGCTGATGTAAACCATTCCTTCAGGAGTGTGCAAGCAAGGTGCTAATGTACAGCGAAGTTGAGACAGCTTTCCTTAATGATTTCTTTCTGGGTTAGTGAGAAATTGTTAAGTTGTTCGATCTGGAGCATCTCTCTTGTGGATTTCAGATGAGCCAGGTTCAGAAGTAATTGGCTGCACATCTGATCTAACAGCCCTTTATAAATAAGCTTACTAAAGCAATTCCATCTCATAAAGTCAATGGAATAGCCTATGTAAAAAGATCATCTGCAGCATCAGGCACAATACTGACTCCACCGACAATCTCTATCTGGCTCTAATTAACCACTGCACTGATTTCCCTCTGGTGCAATCCTACTGAATTGAGCAGAGTTATCTTTGATCTAAGCAATAAAAATGAGAGGGGAATCAGGTCTTGAGATCAGAAGGCACAAGATGCTCTAACACTGCTGTTTCACTGTTCCAAGTGATACCCATCAAAACTGTTTCTCTTTCCCATTGGACCATCTCACAGGAAATAACTCAGGGAAGAATTTAATAGTTATGTTCCTGATTTTGATCAGTGCACTGTAAACTTCCCCTGTAGATGCCAAGCCTCCTGAGTTTGTCTCATGGTTCAGTCTTCCTATAAATCTTCTTGTTCTGTACAGATAGATACTGCAATTGGACTGATCCAGTACAAATCTGTGCCTGACAGTCTCCATGCTGCTTTCATGGTGGGGGGAACTGTACAGGTCATGTACTGATGTGTGGTTTTTTGAACTTGGATATGGAGAAATGGTATCACTAAAAGCATGTCTTCATTTAATTCTGGGTGCCTCTAAGTGCAGTGGGATCTTGTTTTGCTGGTTTCAGTCCTTTTTGCTGGCAAGTGCTGTATACACTTCGAGTAAGAGCCACTGTACAAGGCAGGAAAAAAATGAAATTATTGCAAAGATCTTTGCAGTGAGTGCATTCTTGTAGAAGGCTTAAAATACCTAATGAGAGAGTGAGCTCTGAATGTTAGGTGAATGAAAAGCATTGATCTTTAAACTTTTTAAACTGCCCAATTAATCTGAAAAAGAAAAAGCTGTTTGTTGCATGAGCAGTATGCAATACCACCTATTTCTGAGGTGTGAGCAAAGACTTGGCTTTTTTTTGTGGCTTTTCCTGGAACAACATATTAGGACTGGGAATGGTAGTTTATGCAGTGCTATGCCACAGTATGCATGTGCTATTTCTTATTATATTAGATCTACAGATTGTGCTATGATATGTAATAATTAGTTTGCTAAATAAATTTTGTTAAGTAATTTTCACATCAGTGCTTAATTCCGTATCAAACAGGAGCCACGAGTTTCTATTATTTGTAGTAAGGCAGCTCCAGTTTCAACCTGATATGTTTGAAAATAGTAGGATATGTAAATTCCAGAGTTTGCTTTGCATTAAAGTGCTAGTAAAGTAGAAAGTTGGAAACAGGCATTTGGATGAAAAAAGTTTGAAATTTGAGAAGTTCAACAGAAATAGGGTTCTATCAAACATATGTAATGCTATTCCAGTTGGAACTGCATGACAAGGATGAAAAATTAATAAGGATAAAAATATAGGGGATGTGAACCAGGCATGGCAATGGCAAAAATGTGGCATCATTTCCCAGTTCTTGATCAGTTCTCTGAACAGTTCTCCACACTGCATCATCATCTCTTTTTTCCCCACTTTCATTTGCATTTGCAGTGAACGTGGTAACCGTAGTTGCTGTGCTTCAGTGCAGTTGTTTTTATAGTAAGTATAGTCCGAGATGTTTCACTTATCCAGGCACGCTGGAAACATGAGGATCTCCCTGCTAAATGTCTGAATAACAGCAGAACTCAGGGAAGATCAGGGCATCTTGTTTTTTACATAGCTTACAAACAGTGTCTAAGTGCCTATAAGGCTAGGAAGCAGTGAAACTGCACAGCATGTCACTTATAAATTGCTTTCTCTGGCCTAGGTACATAAATTGTCTTTTAAGTCATTAAATGTGTGTCAGAGGCCTTCTGAATTTCTCACCAAATCTTGTTGTTTAACAAATGTGACAGTATGGGCTAAAATCATTGTTTGCATGGCCTTTAAACATTGCCTAAAGCGATTGGAACCTGAAAATCTACTACTCCATTGTGCAGACAAATAATTTTGTTTTAGCAGTAAAAATAACAGATAACCTATAAAACTTCTAGCAGATAAATGAGGCTTGCTTGTCACTCTATTCATGTTAGAGACACTGTTCCTCATTGTATTAAGCTTATACCTTAAAATTAGTTGTAAATTAATATCCATTCAAGTGTAAATAGAAAGCGTTGCTTTTATGGTAGCTGAATTTACCTTCTCAGCAGTTAATTTATAAGTATTCTATTTTCAAAGTGAGTAATGGTTATTTAATGCAATTTATTTATTTTCTACCTCATTGGAACAGCTCAGGTACCTGGGATTGAAACACTTATGGAAGATATTGATGAATTGGAGAGTGCCTCTCAAGTGACAGTATCTGTAAGTAGATTCCCTTATGAATAACCTTGTAATTTTTTTTAAAATATCTTGAGAAAAATGAGATTTTGTGTAAAGATTAAAGTGCTTGTTTGCATTCTCATCTTAAGAAAGGAAAGCATATTTTCCCTGTTTTGCATCTCTCTTTAGCATATCCAGAGTGAACAGAGTTATGATAAATTTTGCAGCAGTTTCTTGTGATCTTACACATGATTTTCTTACTGAATTGGACTTCTGTTGCAGCTACTAGCTTTGATTTCTCAGTTCCACAGACATGTAGCATAGGCAAAGAGCAACAAATAAATTGAATTGCATAGAAAAATAAAGATAACAAGGAAAATAAAAGGTCATTGTATTAATCAGCAAAATCTTGCTGCAGAAGTGTGCGCCCTTCAGCTGAGTATTTTCAGGTACACATTCTGTATTTGCGTGCTTATTAATGCACATAAATGCATATGAATTTGATATTCTGATGGTTGTAATCATAGAGTTGTATTTACACACAGATGTAAGTTGCCCACAGCAGTACAGAGCCAGAGGCAGTGAACTTGCCTGGGAAGAATCCCTGAAATCCACACTGGTTACTGCTGTTAATGCCAGTGCTGCAAAGAGAAGTCAGGACCGTAGCCCTGCAATATTTGAAGCCTCTGCTTTGACTACACATCCTCTTTCGTAAGGCAAGGGCAACTAGGTTCCCTTTCCTGAGCTCTTGGAAAGTTCCTTTGTCTCATTTACTAAGGAGCTGGAAGCCAATAACTGTTAGTTCATCTGCTTTTAGAGTTTGTGTTTTGGATCTTTAAGCTATTGTGTAAATAGTGTGATTAGCTGTTTGTGTTCTTCTCTGTCTTGGAAATGGCTGTTACCCAAGTAACATTCAGCTGTCAAGCATTATGTGTTTGCCTGTATCTGTACCTAATCAAAAAAGAATAAAATGATTAAACTTTTGTTGCATTTTAGACCTCTCGAGGAATAGAGATCTGCTCCATGGTCTCCTAATAACTTCCAGTGAGACTTACTCTGTGACAGTCCTTACATACAAAAGCAGCGACAGAGCTAAGGTTCTCTGTAGAAAAACTGAAGATAAATGCATTCATGCAACCAATTCCCACAAATTCTTTAAAAGATTAAGAATGATGCCTGTAAAGGGACTTAAGAATTGATACTAAAACATGTTTTCATGAGTTCGCATATTTTTCAGATGTTATGAGATACTATGGGAGATAGGAGGTGAGGGTGAAATACAACGAGGAAGAATAAGTTTGATGTTAATCAGACACTTATCATAAACCAGACAAATTGATTTGTGACATTTACTCAAATGTGCATATTACCTGTAAGAATTCATGCTTTAGCTCAAGGTGTTCCATATTTAATTCCAGTACTGCATCCCACTAGGGTAGTATGAGTCTGTTGCTAGTTAAGCTGGTCATTATCATAAATTTCTCTCTACTCACGTATATTTGACTTATCGTCTTTAAACGTGCCTCAGCCTACAGAGAGTAAATCTTCTGAGAAAGATTGTGGGATGAAGCAGCAATGATTATGCAAGGGAATGTTCAGAAAATCTTCAGAATAGAGCTGTGTGGGTCCTTTTTTCATGCTCTGTGTAGAAGTTCTCATGTAAGATCTTTGGTACAGAGACTGAAGTAGTCTGAATGACAATATTTAGAAGAGATAAGGAGTATCTATGTCTATAACATGGCTTAATATAATGTGTACTATGATTACATTGATTATACAATGATTATAATATAATATTATATATAATATATATTATATATATATATAACTATATTATAATATAATTATAATATGATTATATAATGTGTACTGTGATTTACCTTGTCTGGATGACGTGCTGCGTGATATGCTTTAGTAGCTTGTGGTGGCCATGGTGGTGAGGAGATAGTTGGACTAGATGATCTCATAGGTCATTTCCAACCTTGTGATTCTGTGATTCTATGATTCTATACATTGTGATTTTCTTGTAACATTCTGTATTTCTAGAGAGTCTGGAAGTTTTTGGAATCAGACCTTTTCCATTTGAATGTCTTTTCAGAAGAATCTTTTGCTAAGCTTTATTTTTCTCAAAGAATTGATATTTGAAAAGTGGAGAACCTATTTGTCAGTGCTGCACAATCCCAAACAAAGTGTACTGAATGGATAAATGAGTAAGGCTACCAGAAAGCAGTTTGGAGTACTTACAGGAATCAGCACTCTTCCCATGTGTTTTGCAAGGACACAAAGTGGAAGGAAGCATTCAGAATGTTCTAAAAAAAACCTGGTTTACTGCGGGGATATTTTTCTGACAAATATTTAATTTAAGAAAAAGTGCAAGGCAAGATGCAAAGCTTTTTTTGAGATTTTTTTTGCCATGGGGCTTTCTCAGAGTCCTAGTTTACCTTCTGTTTCTGTAAACAACTTTTATAAATATTTGGTTAGTTATCTTCAAGAAAACACGGAAGTGATGCTAGGGAAAAGTTTGGTCAGATGGAATTATGACAGCAATGGAAAAGTAAAGTATCCAGGGAATAACCTAAATTTACAGCAACTGAAAGAAAGAGTAGGGCAAGTACACTATACAGTTGACACTGTAGCCCTTGTGTTCATCTTGAGTTTCTTCTTTTACCATCTTGATCTTGTGCTTATTGTTTTTATTCATGTGAATCTTTGCATTCACTCATCTTGCTTTGCGTGTGCACATGAAAAGGTTTATTTTTCTTTGCAAATTATCCATGCAAGGCAAACCAATACAAGTGAAACTGTGGGAAAAAGAAGTCATTTAACTGCAAAAGGCACCTTTTGCATGAAGTTGGCTTGAGTTTTTGGTCTTTATAACTTTGAGAAAAACACGCTAATGAATTGTTTTATAGCGGTGTTTTGCTTAAAATATATCCTTTCCCATTTTTCCTTCTCCTTTGGAACTTCTCTGTTGCTTTGCTAGAAGGAATATACACAAGAATTTTCTGTAATGTATATGGAAATTGCTTGATGGGAATTCATTTTTTGAAATGATTTGAGGTTTCTGCAAAAATTAAGCTTTTACTTTTTGGTATTGATACATGTTGAATACAGCAGTGTGACTGAGGTAGCATGAATTAGAAAGGTAATATTTATATACTATACAAACAGAATTACTGTAGTCTCATACCATTTTTTTTTTTTAATCCAACTTCACTTTTTAAAGTGTGTGGACATTCAGGCACATAAAGTTACATATTTTTAGCCTTTACATTTTTTACATATAAAACTAATAACAATAATAAATAATATTACATAAGTGCAACTCTTGTGCAGCTAGTTCAAAATGAACTGTAAGTGTAATTTTAATTGCAAATAGCTAAATTAACAATACAGTGCAATAAAAGAACATAATATCAAGCTTATTGGGAAACAGGTAATATTTCCTGAAAGTTGTTAAGCAAGTAGTTTAAATTACATACCTTGAACTTCTTTGCTCTAGACATCATCTGTGTGAAACAGATTTCACAAATTACACATTGCATTTTGTCAGCACAATTGCAAAGACTTAATTTCTTTCTTTAAAGTTTTGTTTTGCTTTGGAGAGCGCATGAAGTGCTCAACAATTCTTTCTCACTTCATACCCACTCATTTCTTTTTACTGACATCATTTTATATATTGGAGAACCCAGCATCTCAGGTGCATACCCAATCCCAGTGACACATGATATGGCTGCCCAGCATCCCTGCAGGGCCCCCAGTCCATGGCTGGAGTGCAGTTGGCAGAGAGCCCCATCCCCTTGTGGGCTGAATTCCACCAGCCCCATTGGCAGGCACCTCATGCAGCTTTCAGTTCACACTTCCAAGACCTTCAGTGGTGTAGGCAGAATGGCAAGTATGTACTGAACTGAAAATACTCCCAATTTAAAATATTTGATACTTTAAAAGATGACTTTAAAATGATTTTTCTGCAGTTTAAAAAATTTATTAAAAAAAAATCTGAGTGCCTTATTTTTTTTGTTTCTAAAACTTCGGTGTCTTTGGAGTGACAAATTGAAAAATATTGTTCCAGATAACAGTAAATAAAACAAGATTGAAGCTTACAAAATGTAATTCTAGTTAAGTTTGAAAAGCTGAAACATGTTAAACTCAGGTGCCCACTTAGTTCCTCTTTCAATCTGTAAGTAGAAAACTTGTGTGTAAGTTAACCCAAACTACCACTTTTCTAGTGCTGGGCTTAGTGTAAAATGTTGCCTGCCATGGAAAGCAAAAGCTTACAATTTCAGTTACATGGCATTTCATGTAGAATGGGCCCAAGTGTGGGGAGATGGGGCTTAGAGGTGGTTTCTTACATTGCATCAGACCTCTTAGAGGTTTATTGTTTTAACAATAACAAACAAACAAAAAAGTGTTGACAAGGATACTTTTTGCAGTGGGAGGATTTTCCATCACGTTTCTGTTTACGACATTTAGGCCATTTAGAAAGAAATAGTAGATTTTAGATAGCAAGTAAGTGTGGTTGCCTTTTCTATGCTATTATCTCCTGAAATTGCCAATGACAATTGCACTTTATTAACAAAACTATGCAGAATAAAGAGTTCAATCAAAAATGCATTGCCTGTGTTTATAGTTTGCAAGGAACTAAGGATTGAATTTTCACCTCCTTTTCAATACCTATACGTGATCACCTTTTTGTTTTGACATGATTATGTGATTCATCATTTATCTGTCATTTCGTCTTTAAAAATGAAGAAGCCCTTGTGAGGTAGGGATATCCCCTATGTCTGACAAGAGAATGTGCACAGTTGTGCCTATGGGTACTTATGTTTAACTCTGAAGTAGGCCAAAATGAAACAGAAGAATAGCATTCCGTCATTCCAAACTTTTAATGGTCAGGTAGGAAGGGCTAATTTACTTTCTAACAATCATTTGATTTCCTGATGGTGTTGGAGGTAATTTGGAGGTCTTCTTTGCCTCAGACAATTTGAAATGCTGCATTTCTGCAGAACTCCCTGTGTGTCCATGGGGGATTACACAGAAATGGCAGCCCATGTCACTGCAGATGTTCACATCTGCACTGTTTTTTCATATGATGTATGCTGTCAAAATGACATTGTGCTGCAAATACTGAAGTACTTATATTTGATTGTGGAAAACTTCCTTATTCTTATGACCTCAATTATGTTTGTGTACCAGCATGGCTTTCCCAGTAAGTTATGATATTTTCCAGAAGTTCAGGGAACGAGAGATGACAGACATTCCCTTTGGCTTTATCTTTTGTAATTATTTTCTTTTTAGGAGTAATTTGGCTAAGCGATCTAAGTAAAGAATGTGCTGATGAATATATTGTTAGTGAAGAAATAATGATGCTATGTAAAGAAAACCAATTAGGAAATGGATGCCTGGTTGACCTTTACAGTTGACAAATGTATCCTAAGGGCTTTGTTTGAATGTATTTCTAGCGCAGAGACTTTGCCTTACCTTCAAAGTTTGAAGGTGAAGTGAACAGCACCCAGAGCTGTTCCTACAAACTAAAGGGTGTCTTTCAGGAACATGTTCCTGTTTAGATATAAAATCTTGTTAGTATGAATAGGCTATTTATAATTTTTGTGTTAATATTAAAAAATCTTAGTGAATAATTGAGGGCAATTGCAGTTTGGAATACGCTGAAGGAATTATAAAGGACTATTTCTATATACGCACTTTATACATACATACTAAATTTTTCAACTACTTTCAGTCTACTGTCATTATCAATAACATCTGAGATAACTGACATTAGTGTTTTATCTCTGCTGTACCTGGCCAGGAGATAAAGATTACGTTTTGATAAAAATGGAATAGAAATGTTCAAATAAACAACTTGCAAGCCTGAATCTCTCTCCTAGGTGACATTTCTGAACTGCTGCCACTTATCTAGTGGAGAGAAGGGATACCAGTGAATTCTGCTGGTGATGTGTGAATTCATTTTTCCTTGCTAAAGCGTTTGAACTGATGTGCTTGCTAAGACTGCCTGTTAACATCCCCTACTTTCAGCTTGTATTTATCCTTTAAGATCAAGATTATTGCATATGTTGTTGAATATGCTAAGGAACCCTTTCTTTATTTATATGTTATTCACTTAAATGAATTCATAGCCTTAACATGTTAAGAGAGAATTTTTATGTTCAGTATTATTTACAGAGGGGAAAAAAGAAAAAAAACCAAAAGCCATTTCCTGAGTCTGCCTTCAGAAAGATTGAAATCATAGAATTGTTTGAGTTGGTCATGTAGTCCAACTCCCCTGCAATGAACAGGGACACCTACAGCTACATCAGGTTTTTCAGAGTCCTGTGCAGCCTGACCTTGAGTGTCTCCTAGCATAGGTCATCCATCACCTCTCCGGGCAACCTGTTCCAGTGCCTCACCACTTTTATTGTAAATAACTTCTTCCTTATATCCAATCTAAATCTCCCTTCTTTTAGTTCAGAACCATGTCCCCTTGTCCTGTCGCAACAGACCCTGCTAAAGAGTCTGTCCCCTTCTCTCTTATAGCCCTCTTTAGATACTGAAAGGCTATTCTCAGGTCTACTCTGAGAACCTTCTCTTCTCTAGGTTGAACAGCTGTAGTTCTTTCATCCTGTCCTTGTAGGGGGAGGTGTTCCATCCCTTGGATCATTTTTGTGGTCCTCTTCTGGACATGCCTCTACAGGTCATATCACTCTTGCACTCAGGGCAGTGTTGTTGCTTATGGTCTTGGAACATCTAGTTTCAGTGAAGGAGCAAAAAAATAATAGCAATACAGCAGTTTTAATATCATAATAAACAGATAACTTTTTTATTCTAATAGTTTCAGATCATTTTTTCTTTCTATCAAGTGTTTAATTGTAAGAGTATTATAAGCACATAATCTGTAATTAAATGGCTGCTATTAAATATCTCATCTTTCATGGCTATTATTGAACTATTATTCTGGTCTCTTCACAGTGCTGTTGTCTCACAAAATGCCAAAGGCTTCTGATAGTACATGGTACAGAAAAATGCAAATAAAATGTTACAAAATTTTTGGAAAAAAGTTGTCCAAAGTTGTCTCACTAATTTCACAGTGTTGAAATGGTGCATCTGGAAGATAGATATGAATGTATTGCTTTAAAATCATATCCAACATTAACTTACTCTCCAAAAGACTGTGTACATCTGTGTTGTGCACAGAACTGAACACAAATTCTGTATTCTTCGTAACTGTATGTTAACAGGATGAAGGCAGCCATAAGCATTTACAGAGTGCATGTGTGTACACAACTTGGTGTGCCTGTATCTGCTTATGTACAGCCATTCCTATCTGTGTTAATAATCTGAGTTGAAGCCTGCAAAAGTATTGCTGATGTTTCATAATCTTTGTGATTTTGAGCCTTCTAATTGCAATTTACATTTAAATGTTACTCATATTTTTGAATAAACATCTCAAGCACTGTCATGGTGCTCACATTAAAGAATCATTTTTCTCTGTTTGAGTTTCTGTTACAGATAGTAGGCTGAGTTGCATTCACTCATTCACCTTAGTTGTATGCATATAAAAAAAGTATCACAGAGGAAAAGGTAGAATGCAAGAAGAAACATTAGAGGTTTGTAGAAGAGAAAGATTATTTTATCTTCAGAAAAAAAAAGGAGATGGAGGCTGAGAAAGTCTCAGAAGGCTAACATTTGCAAGTGCTTGTTTTTGGAAGCTAGAAAATTAGTGAAAACTCATAATAATTTGTTTACAATAAACTTGAATAGAACTGAGAACACCAGATGAAAAGTTTGCTCTTCAGTTATTACCACAAACAACTGACTAGCTTTTATTCTGTACTTCATCAGAGTTATGTTTGTGCTTGATACTCAAAAAGAATTCATCCTGTTAGACTTGGGGAATTTTTCTCTCTAGTCATTGTTGAAGGGCTGCTATATTTTTCCTCCCTTAATAAAGAGTTCTCCATTAAACTTAAATAAAAATGCCTGTTTCCCCCATAAAAATCTGAAGGTTAAGAGTATGTGTAAAACAGATTAAAAACCAGAACATTAGGATTTTTTACAGGCTCTACTCCCATTCCCATTTCTTATTTAGTTTCTTTTGTTTCAGAGAAACTGCTCATAGAACAAATTACTCTTCTATCTAGAAACAGATACGGAGTAACTAAAATCTATTAGATACAAGCATGTAAAAATGTGAGTAGTTTAATAAGGGTGAATATTCCTTAGTGACCTTGAGAAGACATATTATCATTTGGATGGAGAATTCTCAAATATGAATGAAGTGGAAAATTCTCAAAAATCTCATGGGAAAATAGGTGAATCAAGCCTAGTGACATGTCTGAAATAAATGCATTTGCAGGATAATTTCCATTTCTGACTAATTTACATTTTGTTTGTCTCTTCCTGTGTATTTGCCTGGAATGAAATATGTGTGCCTCTAACCAGAGCAGTACTACAGTAAAAAGCAATGGGCAAATTACAAAATGCCTACTGTGATCTAAAAACACTGTGTGTTACTAACAGTAGGATTGCCTGCAGCTGTGAACTATTTCATATTCTGGTAAATATGAATAAGGGTTTCTTTTAATGTAAGAATATGGAACTTTACAGTATAGCTGTTGTTTTATACATAGGAATCTATGTTAACAAATTTTAAATGTACGTTTCACAGCAGTCAGTTAAATACAAGACAGTGTTTATGTCCTCTCCTCAATTATTCTTCTCCCTGCAATTACATCAACTCAATGTCTTTGAAACCCTGGCCCCTCTCTAGATTTGCTTGATGTTTACTGAAAGATTCAAAAATCAGTAAGAGGTAAACAATGATGGGACTTGTGCATAAACTTTGTTTCTTCAGGAAACCAGGGAAAGCAGCAAAACCTCGTATACTTCAGATGAAATATTTTGGTGTGGAAATAAAGTAAAATTTATTTCAGACAAGCTGTTAAGAATGCTTTGATTAATGTATTTGTTGTTTTTTATGACCAAGTAAGCATTCTATCATACACTTCTAGTGTATTTTAAGTAAGCATATAAAAACTTATTGAATTTACCTTATAGTATCATATTTTAAAACTTTAAAAAAATTAAAAATAAAATTTTAAAAAATTTTTAAAATATTTTAAAACCTTTTAAAAAAATTTATTTATTATTTTTTTTTTAAATTGAAATTTTATTGAATGGGTTCCAGAAAATGCAGCTAACTGGGTATCACAGCGTTCAGTATTGAAATGATTGGGTAAGTCATCCCAGCATCCCTTCTAAGCTTCTGTGTTGCCATGATGATTTAGTTGCTGTTCCTGAAAGGAATACTTTGTGACAAAATGGCACTGGCAGTTTTGATGATGAAATTCTGTGATGTTCCCAGAAGTGCTGCTTTGCAGAGATACTGTGCCATATGTGGCAAATTAAACTGCAACCCCCATTATGTAACTTGCTTAGAATGTAAATCATTGAAGAATTTGTCCTATTAAGTTTTCTCAGTATGGAATAAGAGCTTGTGTGTCAATATACATGTAAGTTACTCTAGAATTGTTGATTTTTGTTAATGCTTACTGTTTATGTTATTTAGCATGTAAGAAATTATAAATTTTAATTTTTTGCAGCTAAATATTATATACTAATTCTGTACAAAACTCTACCAGATTCCCTATTCTAAATGAGTACAGTGCATCACTCCCCCCTCTCCACTTATTTTTTATTGTTTCACATGTAAATTTGAAAGTGTATTAAAAACTATTCCATTTTATTTTTATCTGTGTAAGTCTCAGCCGGTTTGGACTATGGATGCCATGGGTGTCAGATCTGGTGGTTCCCCAAGACAGAAACTCTTAAAGGACTCCTTAGCAGCAAAAGAACTTCAGACCATGGAAAAGCACCTGGCTGGTATGTATGCTAGCAAGAGACGATGAAACACATAGCAGTCCTCACACATCTATGCCAATATATTTTAGACAAAGGAAAAGTGATAATCTATTTCAGATGCTGATGAAAATAGATAAAACTTCACATTTCCTTCATTGCAAAGAAACAGTTATTGTTTGTGTTTGTTAGTTGTTCTTTGTAATGAATATTTATTATCTAAGGTTTAGTTGTATGGTATGGTACTGGTAGAACTAGAATATTAAGACTGGCAAGGTAAGGTGGAGAGAGAAATGAAATTTTTCTGGCCCTTCTTTCAAGTCTGTCACAGAACAAGGCAGAGAACTTAGCACTTTCGGTCATTTTCGAAAAGATTTTGGACATCTGTCCTACCTGTGAAGTTGGCCTGGAAGGCTTGGGAGCGGTATTTTCTTTAGAAAGACAGATGCAGCTTTTTTACTTCTGTCTAGGAGCTGTTGTAGACAAAGTCAAGTAGAAGACATGGCTGTGAGCACAGTGAGAAACAGAAAAAGCTTTTGCTTAGAGTAGGGCAAGAACTAAAACCAGTCCCTGTGTGTTGTGGCAGGTGTCACTTACAAGGGATCTGGCCAAGTTGTCAATGCTTTGATTTGTGTCTGAACTGGTAGCATTTCCATGGCTGTACAAGTCGCCCTTGTAAGCAGCGTACTCTGAAACATGCAGATCCCTGTATCCATAGACATAGTTGACAATAATAACTACCATGTTGAATGGAAGATAGAATTTTAAATACTTAATTGGTTAACTATGTGGATTCTTTTATTCTCTGACACTGTCTGCTGTGGTATGATGTGCAAAGTCTTTCACATCAATGCTGGTGTCATTTGGCTTTGGGCCTGTTACTTCAGTAGCACTGTATGGGGGGTTCAGGCATTTTACCATCCAGTAATTTTTGTTTGGCTGAGAAATTCACAAGAGTATGACTGTTATTAGACATTGGACTCTCCTATTCTTGTTAATTAATTAACCAGTTAACTTCCTCTTATACCAGTGCTGCTTGAGACAATTGTCCCTCACAGTTGCAAGCATAACATAACTTCCATGAGGAATCAGCTCAGAGGATCTCAGATAATGAAGCAGTATTTTGCTTAGCCTTATTTTTCTGATAGATTAAAAAAAAAAAAAAAAAAAAAAGATATCAGCAAATCATCTTTCTTTCACTGAGTACAGTGGAACCTATTAATCCTATCCTGTACTATGCAGTCATTTAGATGTTTTCTGAGACTTGGGCTCATGTAATGATAAGACATAGTCCTGCCTTTCTCTTATGGACTACATGCTGTAGAAAATTCACTTTAAACACTGGCACAAGTGGATGCCTATGATAAGCACCAAATGTCAGCAAGTTCTTCAGTGCCTTATTTGAAAACAGCATTTTTACAAAATCAGATTTTGAAGCAGTTTTCCTTTCCTTCCTTAAATGTGGTCCAGTGATACTTTTGTCAAAAATCCAGTCTCTTACGTTACTGTGGCTGCTTTATATCGTACACAAGTGGAATTTATTTATTTACTTATTTATTTTTGTATTTAATTGCAGTGACTTGCCCATTTGGCTTGTTATATTTATTCTGTGGTCACTGCATACTTCTGGAATCTGATTTATCAAAAGTAGAACTTCTAGGTGCATAAACAGTTTGAAGTTGCATTATGAATGATATTCTGGCATTTCTGATAAGCAAGTAAAATGCTTTTGTGTTTTTCTGATGCCTGCATTTTTATTTCCTTTAAATGACATTGACAAGGGATTTTAAAAAGTTCTGCCATAAATGAATTCTAGTATTTACTGAATATCAGATAATAACATAAGACTGGAGATTTGTGATATTTTTCTTTCCCTTCTAATTAAAAAGCTGATGTTGAAGCAAAAAAAAAAAAAGTATGCTAAATACACACTCTTGTCTACTATATGAAATGAAGAAAACGTGAGCAAGAATATAATGTTTAGTTAGCTTTTATTAAATCCTTAAAAGTTTCAAATAATTTCTTAGCATACTGAATCAACTTGGGGAAGTTAGAGATCTGGAATTCTGCGAAGACACAAACTAAATTGAGTCTTTAAAGGAAAGTATTCTTTATTTGGTTCACATAACCCACATTGTCATTTATTGGCCTCTGGATTTCAGTCAGGCATCTTACAAATTCCAAACTGATATGTATTGATTTTTTTTTTAAAGCATAATGGAAGAGTACTTCAAGAAATAATTATTTCAAAATGGAAATAATTTTAAGAGGTTAATTTTTAGTAAGATTATTGTGAGATTAAGATGGCAATTAGAAATATTCTGAACTGTGTGCTGGGAAGAATAACTACATTTAAAAACTTGCTAGCGTCTTTAAAGAGTTGAAAGACTCAATTTTGACAACTTTTTTTAATAACAATATTTTACATGTGAGAAATGTCTTGTATTAGAGGAGTAACATAAACCTTATTTTCCTGTTTTAAAAGATATTAATGTTAAAGGTGGCATATCTTTAATTGTTTTACATAAAGCATTGTTTTTATAGCTACTGGTAGATAGAAGTGCAAGAAAATCTTATTTTTTTAATAAGCAGTTTAGAGTGTTTTTATTTTAGAACTTTAAGGGTCTGAAGTTATTATTAGAGAAACAAAAATGAAAATGCTCATTTTATATAAGTTCACTTAATACATAATTAAGTCAGTAGAACCTTGCTGATTTGCGGCTTCTGGTTTGTAGAATTTAATGGAAAATATCATTACTTATCAAAACCAAGTTACAGTAGAAAGTAAAAATTCAGAACAGTTGTGTGAGATGAAATGAACTTGAACTGCCTGTCAAGCTTCTTTACATTTTTACTTTCAAGGATCTTTCAGTATAGTAGCTATGCTAACCTGAATTCCAGCAATCCTCATCTAACTTGGCCGAATGTATCTGATTTAATTCATCAGAATCATTAAGATGAATTAAATGAATTCAGAAGACAGTTTCCTCACTACCACTAAACTGTTCTGTTTTTAAATAGGGTCTTATTTCATACAGCCCTAAAGGGCGTAGAAACTGGAACACCAAATGATGACCACCTTTCTTCTTGAAATTCTAGACCTTGGTGACCCCTTCAATTGCTGTAGCACTGAAGACAAACCAGAGCACAAAATTCAGATCCAGGCAGCATTACAGACCCAGATGTGCCAGAGGCCAGGAGTTGTTGACCCCAGAGTTCAGTTTGGGCAATATACAGGGAGGTCAGAAACATTAAGTCTCATCTTGCTCCACTTTTGGATTGCCCATCAGTGCAGATGAGGATTGCAGATTTAGCTCACAGCCTCATCTTAGTTTGTTGCTAATGAGAAACGGTGCAAAAGCCACAGTGAGGTTTGATTAAATGAGAGAGGTTTTCATAGGTTGTAGGGAAATTCATAGCTAGATGGTTCAGTTAAATGGTAATAATGCATTTCTGTGGGATAGATGTGCTTGCAGTAAATCAACTGTGAATAGATTCTAAGGACATAATTATCAAACCATTAATTCTGGTGCCTTGTATTTTAAGGATGAATAGATTTTCTCTGCAGAGCTACAAGGTGTCACGTATAGCGAGGAAAATCAATAAGAAGCTTAAACCTGAGAGAACTGAAAGTGAGGTTTTTGTTTGTTTATGTGTTTGTGTGCTCAGATATTGAAAAGGACCTAGCGCTGTGGGAAGAAGCAAGGCTCTCAAGAAGCCCTAGCATCCAGCATCACAGTTTAGGTACATCTGATCCTCAAGGCAATCTTCAAGCTACACAGGGCCAAAATCCGAGGCCAACTCAAATGGGAAAAAACATTCAGCTCCAAGGAAACAAATCGCCACCACTGCCCACTAATAGCCGAGCACAGGCCTCAGGTGTTACAAACAGCAGGCCTCCGACAGCTGGCGTGCAAACCAACAGGCCATCGACTCCATCAACGCCGGGGAGCAGACCTGTGACCCCAAACAGCTTGCTGTCACGGCCGCTCACTCCTGGCAGTCAAGGAAATAAGGAAAGCATCATCAGTTTGCATAGAAGTAGATCTTTGACGTCAAAGAGCCAAATGGGGAGGACCCTCAGCGCTGCTTCAGGGCTCTCTGTGCAAATGAGTGGAGATGTTGTCACTGTCACTGCTCAAAGAAGCAGTTTGTCAGAAGTAAGATTTTCAATTTAATGTTTTGAGTATGGTTAGGAGCTATTACAACATGAAGACAAGATCGTGTTTTACATTGAAGTGGTGTCAGTATACCTAATGTTAGTGTTTTGAAAAGAACTTGAAACATAATACTGAGACAAGTTGCAGGAAAGACTACTCAACTTTGAGAAGTATTGATGAGAAAATTTCAGGATTATTGTGGAAATTGTAATGAAACGCTCATGCCCCAAAATTTTCAGAGATTGGTAGGGTTTTGCCTGCATAATGTGCTGCAGATTTATTAGCCTTACAGTTTCTGAGTTGCATATTTCCGGACTATTAATATCAACTATATCTTATCTTTATGATTCCAGGGTATTTTTCCTGCTGCACTGACAGTGCATAATATTTCCTTGGTTTAATTGTTCTTTTTTTTTTTTTTTTATACACTGGAATGATTAGTTAGTTATTGCTGAATGGACATATTTTCTGAAATAAAAAGCTGAACTGCAGTGGGAAAATATCCAATGTTGCTGAACGACTGTCTAGTACTATTGTGCATGTTAGCTAGACTTATTCAGAGCATAAGAACTTCCTGTCTTATATTAATGGCTTTTAAAGGATTAGTCCTTGTATAAAAAGAGAAGTTAAAGTATCTTGTAAATTTTGAGTGGGATTCTCCTCTGCAAACCTTAGCTGCCTTAAAGATAACTTTAGTGTGTAGGCAGTGGAAATAAAAGAATCTGTGAAAGAATAGCCCTACTGTCTATCTCAGATGCATGTCTCACTAAGATGAGTTTTTCTCAGGAAATGCCAGACTGATGAGAAGGATCTGTATGTTCAGTGGTGGAAAAAAATATCAGTGCACTAATCCCATTGCTTGAGCTAGTTCTCCACCCAGAACTGGAAATCCAACTTAAAAATACAAGGATTAAAGTGGCTAAAGTTGATAGATTTTCAAGCTAGAAATTTTCCATGAAAAAAAAATCTGTGATTGTAATAATTTTATTTATTTATTTATTTATTTTACAATACTCTTCTTCCCCTGTTTGGAGGGATGAGTGTGTTTGTGTGATCAAATTTTCTCATATACCAGAAAATGAGAATTGAAGTTCATTTTGTAACTAAGAATGTTCAGAAGAAATGAAAGGTTTCATTGTTTCCCACTAAAAAACTTCAATTTTATTTTATTTTTATCTTTTCTGTCTTCACTGATACATAGTCAGGTAATGTCAACTTCTGTTGTTGTTGTAATGGATCTTGGAAGTGTCATGTAATGAGCACTGCATCTCTGCCAAGGGAAAGCAGCTCTCAGATCCCTTCTGATCTTTCATCTAACAAGGCAGACAATTCAAAATTCTTCTTTCCACAGTATTTGCTGGTAACAGTAATGATAATCTTGAAAATCTTATTTCTATTTGCTGTGATTTGTTATTTCTGTTTGCCAAATCCCAAACTTTACTGATACATCTTCTAGTAAAATAATGTCTTGTTATCTGTTTTTGATGCGTGCATGTGTGTCTAAAGTACTTTAAGAAAAGAGCAGTACTATTACCCCGTTTTACAGATGGAATAACATGTCCAGTCTCATCCGGCAAGACCACTGATATCAAAATATCAGCATATTGTAAAGCTGATATCAAATATCAGCATTCCTGTGCAAGATCTTATCCACTGTTGTGATCCCTGATAGAAGTGACAAACTTTTCTTTCTCTTTGGTTACTGGGCACAATAGCACAATAGCTGCTGGTGTCCCAGATCCAAAACCTGTTTGTCCCTTCCTGACACGTGCAAGTGACCTTTGACTTCATCAAAGCTCGCGTGGGGACTAGCTCTGATTCCAAGGGGAAAATGGCTGGTATGGCATGTTCATGCTGGAGATCTCTCAGGTCTCAAAAATTGGTTGATGAAGATCTGGCCAACCTGTAGCTGCCAGCCTCATGGTCGGGGTGTTCTGCTGGAAGCTTTGGGAGCTCTTTTAAGCCATCTTTGCCCATTCCAGGTCCTGCTAGCTTAGAAAAACACAAGAGAATAAGGACGGAACATCCCCAGAAAGTATTGCTGTTCGATAATATCTTTTGCTATGTTAGAGGTGACCCTCTATTTCTGCCCATGTGATTTCTCTTTAAGCATAGAGTCAAATTTTGGAAAATCTAAGGTAGCCTGAGGAATGTGAACAATGAAGTTCTTTGTACTTGTGCAGATTACAAATGTATAAAACTAAAAGCTGATACTGTATATTATTTTGCAACTTTCATTATAGGTTTTGTATCTTCTTCCTGTATAAAAACAGTAAAATAAAATAAGGGAAGTTGCCTTTATTCTTCTTAGACTTAATGGTGTGAGCAGGGAATTTCCATTAGATGTGAATGCACTGTGGTTACGTTGCCAGCCCTGTATGAGATACTTGGATAATGTTTTGCAAAGAATTCTGCTTCCTTACTCTTACGTGGTGTTAATGGAATTAATCAGTACATAGCTGGTACATATGTGATGAGAACAAGTCAGTTCGAAAGGAAGCAGCTACTGAGTACCATCAGCACATTTTATCATTTGGAACTTGAATTAAAGAATACAGTGTATGCATGAATTTACGCTGTCACTATGCCGTTTATGAGGACGTTTAACATATCACTAAATACATTATACATGCTTCCTAGTTTGTAATATGTTTCAGAGTACGATAAGTCTAAAATACAAAAATATTCAGAGTACAATTCAGAGTTCTTAGTAAGTTTAGTAAAGTCCATGCTGGTTTAATCTTGTTATAGCACACGTCTTAAATAATCTGGCAAATACTTAACATATCAGCTGTTAAGAATTTTATTTTAATGCTCAAAACTTATAATGATCTGAGATTTTGTGGACAAGTTTCTGCCTCTTGGCACACATAGTACTACAAAGTTTTAACAGGTGTGTTTTATTATCAGCTCTGTTCAGGCTGAATTGAATTATGGCAAAGAAATGCTACCTAGAGAAATAGTTTTATTATCTCTATAAAACTAATAAATCACAGCTCCAAATCCTTTTGCAGAGATATTTTTATGCACTGACTGTATCCTTTGGTGTTTTGTATAAATTGACAAAGGAATGCTGAATACTGCTTATCTCTTCAGGATGGATTCCATTAAAGTGACACAATGCTGTGATAGTTATCAATAGCCATTGAGATGAAAATATTACTGACTCCCTTGTTTGCCATTACATTTTCTCAGCACTTGGAATTTTAGTCACTTTTATTCATCCAGGGACCTTGAAGTGCTGTTCAGTGATATTTATTGGTCCATCATTGTTAATACTAGAGATTTCAGCTGATATGAATACAGCATTGGTTAACACAAGGCCTCTTCCTAATCACAGGAGTGCAGAGCACCACTCAATATCACGAGGATTCTTCTTGGTCAGGTACTTCCATTCTCTTCTGCTGCCTGTCCCCCTTTTTCACTCTGTAGTTTTGGAAGATTAAAAAGCATGCTGACCAGTGTGAGAGCCACTTGCTACTGTTGCAATAATCCTGCCCTGTGAACCAAAGCTTTTTCCCATTTCGGTGCTGCAGTCAGCAACCTTCTCAGATTGTGAAAAAGTTATAAAGTTGAATACATGCATAAGGCTGGGTGTGCTGCCTGTGCTTCCTTTTCAGTCACTGCAGCAGTCTTTTGGGAATTTTTTAACAGATTACTAAGAGAATTAACAGTTTTATTCCACCAACTGAGAGACTGGCTTCCAAGAACTGAGTAAAACAAACCTAGTTTACATTTTTAAACCAGATGGCTAAGCAATAAAAATAATGCTACAGTGCTGCACAATGTAACTTAACTTGGAATATTCTGGTTTTCAACTGGTAGAAAATGAGATGGGGCTTGTAGCTTCCTTTTCTTCTAAGTGACTGTAAGAATCTGGCCAGTAATTTTATGATATCTGGCCACTCCTTGAGTTAACTTTCAGAGACTCAACTTACATGTCTGAACCACTGCTGAAATGAAACTATGCTTTTCGGTCTCATCTCTTGCCTTCAGTATCGCAAAAGAATCTGTCGTACTTCATGTGAGTGTGCATGCTTACATGAATATATACATATGGAAAAATATTTTTATATACATACTTATATTTTGTAAAGAAGAGGTGATGGCAAAACATTTTAAAGGCAGGTACAGATTCTTAACTGTGTGTAACATTTTTATTTTGATGCTTAGAGCTTTATGGTACCTGGGAGACAAAATTTTCCATAGCATTATTCCTTCCTAGGCTTTCTACTTCTCCAATAAAGCCATATGTTCTAAATCAGGTTGCAGATCCTTGTTCTTACAGGATTGAAGATAGTGAAAGTTCTGGCAAATCAAAGCCTTGCTTAAGCAAATAATTCATGACGTATCTAGGCATGGTCCTAGAATGGTACAAGAATAAACAGAATATCCTCGTTAATATTTTGTTTTGTGTCACTGCATTTCTAAGATGAGTGTGTATGTATCTCTGGCTATGTAGATAATTAAATAAGTAGACTTCTTTTTTCCCTGGAATAAATGAACAAGAATTCCATTACAAAAAGTATCTGGGGAGCCTGAATAGCCTCTACATTCTGAGTTTACTTCACAGCAAGAATATGTATATATGTATTAGTTTAGTTTTAATTGAAGTCTTTTTCCTATCCAGTTAATTCAAACTGAAGTACTACAATCTGCATTTGCACAGTACCACTCTATGCCATTTTGTCTAAAATAGATCTGTTTATGGCAGGATGAATTCTTACAACAGCTTCAGCTTGCTCATCAGCCTTGGATGCTGCCGAGTGATACAGAAAGTGAAGGAGTGGAAGCTGACCAAGACAAATGTAAGTATATTTGTTAGGAGCTGATGATATTTCAAAAAACTTTGAACTTTTTTATATCACTAAATCTTGCAATGAAGTCATGCCTGCTCAGAGGAACTTTTCTCATAAGAAGCAATTACTCATTTGTTTCAGGGCTGAACTTTATAGGATTGTTTTCCATAAGCTTTCCTACAGACACTAAGCATTGACAAAATGATCAAGGACCACAGCTTACCTAGCTAAGTGAAGTGATTTGTTCTGGAGTGTTAAAGTAGTTGTTCCAGGGAAGTAGCATGAAGTTGAAATAGGTGTTCTGTTCAGTAAATCTGTATTGACCAGGGGAAAGAAAAAAAAAACAAACAAAAAAAAAAACAAACCAAAACTGCACATGCATACACAAGCCCAGTAGCTCTGAAAAATAGAGCCTTCATCCTCATTAACTCTATTTTGCCTGCATTCTTTTGAATTCCTCTGTATGAAAAAAGTTCTCAATTGCACCAGTAATCCTTAATTTCCTACACTCTTTGAAGCAGTTGTCTAATCATGAATGTAAAGGTCAGCAGGATCATAACCTAAATGACAGAACAGGTAACAACAAGGAGCGTGCTATAAATCACAGTACTTTCAAAGTACAGCGTGTTGTATCTGGCGACAAGGTACCTGTAAATAGTCTTGTTGAAAATATTAAATGTTTCACATTTTGCAATAGTTTTCTGATCTGAAAGGGTAAATATGCAAACTATTTCCATAGATAATTAATGTGATATACTCAAAAAGAACAGGCAATTTAATCAGTGTGTTTAGAAATCCTAATACATGTGACTAAAACTTCCTTAAACATGCAGAGTTAAAAATATGAAAAAGCCAATCTCTTCATGGAATGGAATAGCTGTGTATGGGAATGAGTTCATGGTTAATGATAATCGTGCCAGATAAACAGGATATATTTCTTAATGATGCCACTTCAAAAAAAAATTATATTTGAGTTTCACAAATCCATAAATAGCCTGAGGTTTGACTATGAAATTTTGATTTACATGCTGAGATACTGAAGAGTGTGAGCTAGTTGTTTAATAAGAGTAGTGTAAAATGGAAGTTCTGTGTATTCAGTTGATTTTAGTCCAAAGTTGGTAACAGTAGTTTTATTTATATCTGAGCCTTTCACTTACCTTAGAGCTGAAACCCACTATGAGTAGCCAAAGAGAGAGCCTGGTACCTACCCAATCCATGGACATGAAATTTTTTCTGTGTTTTTCTCCAATGAATTTACAATCCCACCAACATAGGTAGGACTGGCTTCACACAGCTTGGTGCTAAGTATGTGATCAGAAAAACCAGTGATTCTGGACATGTCAGATGCAGTGTCTTTTCTTAGCTGCAGAGCCTGAATTGTGGTGGGGGCATTTCTGAGCACCCAAGATCCTGTGCTATAAGATTCCGGGAATTCTGGTAGATTGTTGCCACTGCCTGTTGTGAGAAAGTAGTAGATTTTAGGTGGAAATATCAGTCCTACTTCAGGATCAAAGAGATTATACTTGCCTGAGTAATAATAGTTATTTTTCCTGGATCTGATGGTACCAAAGCCAGAGAAGGGGGAAAAAAGGTAATTGTGAACTATGTTTTCTGTAGTGAAGAGGGATCTGCAGCTGTCACATATTCTTTTGAGACTATTTGTTAGACTGTATTGTCAAATACTGCATTATTTCTAGTATGTCAGTCTTTCTACTAATATTCCTAAAGTAGAAAAAAAAGTTTATCAAAGCAATAATTCCCATAGCTGATATCTAATGGTAATCAATGTTATTAAAATAACAATGTTATAATGCCCAAGAGAGATGATATGCTAGGTCATGGGAAAACAATGATGCAGAACTATCATTGCTGGCAAAGAGAAGCTGCAAATTCCCAGTTGTAAAGTGAGGAATTGGGGAGGGGTTTGGCATACTTGCTGATGCCAGTGCTTGTAGTCTGAGCAGCTGGCAAAATTCTGCATCATTTTTCACCCTCAAGTTAATAAATCTGTATAGATGTTGTGCTTGTGATTTAGTGTTGAGGGGCCCAGGAGTGCATAATTTATGAGTCTTAGCAGAAGAGCTGCAAAATTAATCTTTACAATAGCAACACCTGTTCTTTGACTCAGCTTTTAATAAATTACATGTGGATAATACTTACCACATTCTTTGACTACCTTCAGATAATAGCAGCCAGGTGTAAAGCTAGTTTTTGGTAGTGGGAAAACAATGCAAAAAGAGAAGATATGGGAGTCACCTTGAGTTCTTTTAAATTAATTCCTTGTGGTTACTGTTCTACAAGAAAAAGAATGAAAAACTTTTTTTGGTGGGGAACTGTGCAAATGTGCTCAGATGCAGGAGTTTAAAGAGGCTATTTTCAAGGCCAGTGAATGATAGCTGAACAGAAGTAGGTCACTTTGGAATCTCAAAATCTTCCAACAATTACTTGCAACACAGATATGGCAGTGCATAACTTGTCTTATGGAAAGGAGGTCTAGGTTTTCAATTCCTGAAAATCAGACTTTACTTTCTAAACCCTTGAGGCCCTCTGACAGCATTTTAAAAATTTATGAGGAGCATCCAGATATAAATAACTAGATGTCAGTCATTTTTAAAGATGTTTCAGACCAGTTATAACAATATAAATTTGTAAACATACACTAGAGAAAGATGTGTACGTTTTTCCCCTTACAATGTAAATGTTGTGATTAAAATAATAGGAACTAGTGCATACTTTTTATAGTAGAACTGTCACCTAATAACTAAATCTCTTCTGTTTGTTAAATATGTTCTTTGATATTATGCATGCACTGAGCAAAGAGGAGTGAGAACTGTCAAGGCAGCATGATCCAAAATGAAGAGCGTGTGGCTCTTCTGTAACTTTAGTGTCACTAAAAACATGTGAAAAGGGACTTGTGTTTTGTTCCTCTCAAGATATTTCCCCATTGTTATCTTCAGGAGTTTGTTTGTATACTAATTATCTGCAGAAAGTTCTCAGAGAATATATAAATATCATTTTTGGAAACAGAAGGGATCTGGAGAAAATATTTACCAGATCCACAATATTTCAGGTTGATGAGAGTCCTTTGACAAAAGTAATTTTCTTCATTACGGGGCGCTTTTGCTAAGAAACAGAAAACTGCTTCTGCAGTCACCAGAGCATTTCTCAGACAGCTTTTCTGAGAAGTTTCAGAAGACTGACAAGAGCCAGCTTAAGTTTTCCCTTGAGAACAGTCCCAACAAATATTGCTGATTGAAAAATTCTGATGCATCACTAGCTTCCCAGAATCTTGGAAGGATGATGACTGTCTTTTGTTGTATTTTGGCCTGCTTTTAGTAGCCCAGGGATGGACTTGCTGCCCAAAGTCTGCTTTCCTGAGTGCCTAACTGAAGAAGTAAGTCACAAAGCAGATATCTCCAGATTCAAAAGCCCTGAATATGCAGGATCCCTACACCTGCAGTCAGTTCATTTCACAGATGTACGTGATAGGAAAATAACTTAGGCTTTTAGGGAACTTATTGTTTCATTAGTTCATATTAAATATATATATATATGTGTGTGTTTGTACACATTCCTTTGCTCCAGTCTGATTAAGGTATAGCAATTTTGTAGTCATTGGCACACTAAGCAGTGTGGCTACAAGTTCATCCTAACTTCAGCTTGTCAACAGAAGTACTAGCTACTCTTGGGACAAGTCTTAAACTCTCACCTACTGATCTCTGGCAAGAAACTTATGCATTTTGCCACTATATATCTGCAAACTCCTTTCTAAGGGTTTGCAATGGAAAGTCAACTACTACTAACAAATAAAAGCTGATTGTTAGGAGCAAGTATTATTTATTTCCACTCCATTCATTTTTGTACTTCTCTTGAAACACTGCTGTCAAAAGCCCTCTGCTGATTACTTCAACAGGTAATGTATAAAATGTTCTTTTTCCCATTCTGCATTCTGACAAATGTCTGCCTAAGAAAAAGACCCCAAAAATGAAATACTGATTTTTGTAGGATCAACTAATTCAGAATGTGTTCCAGTAAAATTCCAAACTTTACAATGTTTGTCTGCAGCTGAAATTCCTTATGCTGAGCAAGTTCACACAGCTAAACAGATATTCTTTCTTAATAAATTTTAAAAATAGATGTTCCTAAGATTTAAAAAATAGCTTGATTGGCGTTCATGAAAAGGAATTTAATGCTGCAATATGTTTTTGATGTGAAAGTTTCCTCTTACTAGAGCCAGTTACCATATGTATGTGTATGAGTAGGAGTGACAGAATCAGGCCTAGAGTAGAAGCTGTTGATTGAAACTTTTATGGATTAACACAAACACATTCCTGTTAGTCACGTTCAGCTTTTTGCATTTGTATTCTGCTCTGATGCATTTTATCAGTACCTGGAAATATCTCTTTCAGTGTTCATAACTTGGGGCAAGACTAGATTTTTTTATCTGTTATATCTTAGATATAAGGCATTGCAAAAATGTATTAATGAATTACATGCCAAGTTAATAAGATGTAGTTAGAGATTTTCGCAGTGAATACTAAATTCACTACAAATGCTTTTTCTTATCTCAAAAGTGAATCTGCATTCAACTTCTGGGAAACTTTGATTTGAGATTCGTTATTCTTTTGAAGAAACCTAGTGTATCTTTCTTTCACCAGATATCTCAAGAGTAGAAATAAAAACCAGAATAAAAAAGTCAGCATGCTGCATCTCCCCACCCTTTCTAGAGAGTGTCGTGACTGTGGTATGCTTGGCATATGAAGGATTTCCCAAATCTCTCCAGACAGCTCCAGGCCCGCCTTAGAAGTGGAGTACCAGTCAGGATTGGTGTGCTTTAAATACAATTTCCCCAGGCCTGTTGGGAAGTCTTGGCTGGATGTCTTGCAACATTTATAGCTGAAACTTCACCATTTGATATAACAGATCTCTGAATCTGAAAATGAGAGAGAAAAGAGTTTTCTATCCTGCAAACACTAGTATTCAGTTGATCATAGTGAAACAAAAGTAGAGATTGACGTTATTTTTACCAGTAGTTGCATCACTCTTGGAAAGGTAAGACTTCAGATGCAGCCTGGTACAGTTGGAATCAGACTTAAGGTTCCTGTTTTTTGACTGAATGTTCTGTTGTGGCTCTAGTTCACGTCGCTTTGTTTATTAATGTCTGATATTTGGTTTAATCTTAGAAAAATTCCCACTGAAATTGAGCAGGGAGGGAGGAAATTTTCCGCCGCAGTGAGAAAAAAAAAATAATCCTGTATTTCAGTGGGGACATATTCCAAACCCAAGGATATGAATTTTTGCATTATTATTGTTATGGTGATCTTGGATTTCCAAAGAATGTATTAATGTAATACAAATAACACGGTCATTTTAAAAAAAAAGTGACATAGAGTGGCTTAGAGAATTATCAAGGTACAAATTAGGTGAATTAAAAGCTGGCTCACTGAGGAATCAAAAAATAAGAGAATCTAATGGGAAGGTGTAGATGAATGGGGCTCATTAGTGCTGATAGGTTTAGATAATTGATGTAAGGGAGAAGTTGAAGATATTAAATAATATGAATCTGCTGATATAATGGCCACATTCCAGTAAAATGCACTTTATTATAACCAGATGAAACATATTTGAAGCAAATGAAATATATGTGACACCAGAGAAATATATCTGTCTCTGCTGCAGAATAATGAGACTTTGTCCTGAAAAGCAGTGACTTAATGAGTTTAGGATGGTCACAGATTATCGTCTCAGTGTGAGCTCTTAGAATAATGCTGTAAACAAATGAGGGTAAACCATTCCTTGCATGCCTAAAAAGTTAAGTAACAAAGTAATTATTCAAAATAGTATCACCTAAAATCTGCACTTCGGGTGTCATTAGGAAAGATTGGAATTACTTAAGAAATTACAGAAGATTAAAAGCGACCCGGCATTTGAGAAGTCTTGTTAGCAGTTCACCTAAAGGCATCCACTAGGAACTTCAGAGATGATATATGTCTGTAGATCTTTAAATAAGAAAGATTAAACTCTTCAAATTATGACAACGGAAATTGATGCTATGACCTAGCATGTAGGGGCCTTAAGCATTGTAACCAAAAGTTGAGGGAAGTGATTAATTCGAAGTCATTAACATGAGGTGATGGCGCTTTCTAAATGACAGATGTTAATCCAGCTGGAGATTCTGGTATGCAAGTGGTCAAATTAGATGAGCACGCAGGACTTTTTTTGCTGGTGTCTGTGAATATACTTATTCACTCTCACAAAGTGTAGTCTAGAAGTGAAATTTCAGTTACTTCCCTGGGTAGGCATATTTCCTGTTAGGTATGGATAAAGGTGAGCATGAGTTAATGATCATATCTGCCTTAATTTCTTTAAAGGTTTCCTTATTTGTGTTTTAATGTGTTCAAAGTGATTCTCAGTCCTCCCAGCAGTACCTGGTGAATATCACAAGATTACAAACAAAAAGAGCTTATTCTTTGCAGATGAAAAATGCATTTTCTTACAAACACCAGATCATGTGCATGACTGTATTTACATGCATGCACATTTTCGTGATTGTATGTTGAGGCTTATTCTTGTGATATTAAACTGCAAAGATTTCCTTAGTTGTTTTTATTCTCATAATTTAACCCTTGGAATATAAAAATGATTTATGTGAGAAAGTAGAGTGCCTCTGGATCAAGTCTGTGCAACCTATTGTATGGTACCTGCTTGAGCAGAGGGCTTGGACTCAATAATCTCTTGAGTTCCCTTCCAACTTCTGTGATTCTGTAATTCTGTGAAGTTAAGGTTGTTCTTAATGATCAAAAATATAAACTTAGGAAACAGTAAGAGTTTGGATTAATACTGACCATAATATGGATATTAGTAAAATGCTATATAGGCTTTATTTTGCTTGACAAAGCAAGTCAGTAGATACCGTGAACAGATTTTGTGCTTTGAAAATTTTAAAGATGCATGTGACAAGAGTGGAATGGAACACAATAATTCATTTGGAAGGGGCCTTCAAAGATCATCTAGTCCAACTACCTGACTACTTCAGAGCTAAACAGAAGTTAAAGTGTCCAAACACCTCTTGGACACTGACAGATACACCTGTCAGAGAGAGCAACCACCTCTCTAAGAGGTCTGCCCCTTGGTTTTACCACCCTCACAGTAAATAATTTCTTTGTTCTGTCTAGCCTGGATGCCTAATATTAAATGGCAATGTAAACCATGCAGTTAATTAAATATTTTGGGTTTCTTTTTACATGTTATTTTTAATTCAGAAACAATTGCAAGTGGCATTCTAAGCTTTTAGGTGAAAAATACTAGTTATCCCAATTTTTTTAATTCTGCAGAGTTCTGTGTATTGTGTAAACAGCCTTGGATAGATGTACAGGTAAATTCCACAGGTAATTGTCTATTCTTATCGCTCCAAGTCTGTACTGAACTTTCTTAAAATTTTGTTCAAAACAAGAACATCAACATACATTAATTTGCATATGTTACAATAAAATACTTCTCTAGTTGTATATTGGTACAGCAATCATATTATATAAGTACTTTTATTTGAATCACAAATGTGTTGAAACACAGGTTGTTTAATTTGTCCTATTGAAAGGGTAGTCTAAAAGATCAAAATCAAAATGATAATCTTAAGGAAAATAAAGCTCTTCCCTAACATTACTGAAACAATTTTGGAGAATAAAGTAAAATGATGCTTTCATTGACTGATCACTGACAGGCAGATAGTAAGGTTAGCTGCTTGTCTTAGTTTTGGCTGGGGTGGAATTGTTTTCTCCATAGTGTCTGGTGCGGTGCTATTTTTTGGCTGTAGGAGAAAAGCAATGTTGTTAACACACCTATGTTTAAAGTTATTGCTAAGCAGTGTTGTACAGAGCCAAGGCTGTACTGATTTCTCAGCTCATACTAACAAGGGGATGGTAGGGGACAGAATCAGGACTACTGACTTGAACTGGCCAAAGGTGTATTCCATGGCATATGATGTGATGCATAATGAGTGTTTTGAAGGGGGTGGGAGATCACTGCTCTTTTCTGCCTGTTGGGTTAAACCACAACACTGCTGTTGCAAAGAAATGTAACTTTATAATGGAAATGCAGTCTAATTTGCTGCATGTTGGTGGAGGAAATTTGTCACTTGATTTTGTTTTGACTACATCAGGATTTTTTAGAGTGCTTTTCCAAAGCACCTGCTTTGTTGAGTAACCGTAACTTAAATTAGGCATAGCTGTTTGTGAAGGCGTGCAGTGAACCATGAACTGATCTGGTTGAAACAGCAAACTTAGCAAACAGAATATTTTTACTCAGATAATTCAGTCCTGTGTTGTGTCACAGCCCTGTGGATGCTGACATTCGTGCTACGTGATTCAGGAAGAGCTATGCAGAGTATCTGAGAGTCTGACAGTAAAGGGCTGAAACTGTTTCAGTTGATTTTTTCGTAAGAAAATAAATGCTCAAGAAAAATGCCCCCGGGGTCTTAGCAAAGACTCAAGTGATGCTAACCCAGTGAAGACTGAGGGGCACAGTCATCCTGTGGAACAGCATCTGGCCTAGCGGAGCGTATCAGTGACTGTTCAGCTCAAGGACTGCTGTGCAGACTTTTGAGCTGGAGGGAATTGGCAATTTCTTGTATCTTTCGTACTACAGAGCACTTTAAAGAGTTAGGAATTACACTGTTCATTTTTTTTATACCTTTCTGGATTTCTCCATTTGCCATATTGGCATGCATTTCTGCTACAAAGAAGAGTGCTCCTTGCTGCAAACCAGAGTATATTTTTTATTCAATTTATTTGTTGCAACTCTTTTTAAAAAACGTAGACCCCATTTGCCTGTCACCAATGCCTTGTGCAGTCATTTATAGCAGTGAAGAAAGAGCAGATTGGTTTTCTACACCAAGTTTTCACTCAATTTAGTTGAACGCAAATGGCCCCACAAAGTGCAAGACTCAGGGAGCAGCAAGCAGTGAGTACATCTCTTTGCATTAAATAAGGCTTTGAAAGGCTCTTGATTTCATAGCTAAATGATGGATTCAGCAGATGGGGTCAGATTGCTTCAGAAACAAACAAACAAACAGTAGAATGACTAATTCCAGGTTGCAAAAATGGGAAGTGAAGGATCTATGAAAGAAACGTGTTTTTTCCTCCTGTGCCAGTGTTCTCCAAGCTCTAGAGAAAGTTTTTACTCCTTATTATCTTTCTGTTATAAATATGTTTTAGAAGGATGAGATTTATTCTAACTAAAACTGTGAAAGTTCCTCTTCTGTCACGAAGAGAAAGGATTTCAAATTTAAGTAAGAAAAAGTCTGCAATGGAAAAGGTTAAGATTTTGTAATGAATTCAATAACCATGACTTCTTGGCATATCAGAGAGCAGGTCCACAAATGTGGAATCAGGCAGAGAAGAGGAGGGCTGATCCTCAATGTGAGGCTTCTGTTCATTTTGGTTAAATCTTGTTTGGCAATGTGCAGTACCAGAGTGTGTGCTGCAGCAGAGTGTGGGGAATGCTTATGTTCTCTGTGTTTTATTCCCATGATCTTCAAACTGCCATGATAAAATATGATAACTGACCACTAAAGCTATGAGAAATCATCAGTTAATGTTTCTAAAACATGTCACAAGCGTCAGTCCCAGTTCTAATGTCTGTCTGGATTTTTTTCTGCTGTAATGTCACAACCATTAAAATAGCTGTAGTTTGTTTCAGTAATTTTACTCAAATAAATCAGTGATGTCTTTCTGCTTATATTAACCACTTCTAAATCAGTTGTTCTCTTTTACATGGAAGTGCTCAGCATGTCAGAAAGACCCATCTCACCCACCTTAAGCTATCTAAAAGTGAGGGAGTGTAGTCCAAGCTATTTGTTCTCTGAAATAGACAGAAACAAAGGAACTTCAGAAGTCTCATAGAGATGTACAGTGCTGGGGGAGTGACAGAGAATCCCTTCTCCCTGTCAAGGGCTCCTGTATCTTTTGTATCTCCAGCCTGACTCTACTCTAGCTCATGTCAGCCAAGAGTTGACTTGGTCTTATTAATATCATTTCTTATCAGTCAAGATTTCTATAATGGATATGAGAAAGCATAGATTACATGTTCTGGCTGGCATCCCACTTCCTTCTGCAGCTAAGAAGACTGCTGTTCCTGGAGTTTTGCAGATAGCAGTCATGAGAAGAATTTGCAAATGGAACAGGCTTACATGTGTTTGCTTTTCTTTTTCCACCCTTAAGATGAATTTGTTACTTAAAGATCGAACTGTGACAAAACTTGAATCTCTGCTAAATGAAGTGTCTCCAAGGAAAACAGTTGTTAAACATTAAGTATGAGTGATGAAAAAATGCATATCAAGTTAATACTGGGTGAGAAATGTTGTTAAGATTTCCCAGGTTTTATTTCTTCTTTTTCTTCTTTTTCTTTTTTTTTTTTTTTTTTAAGTGTTTTGCAGAGGTATTCGTAGTATGTGGCTTTTATTCTGTTGAATATCAGTACAGTATCAGATATAAAACCCAGGCTTATCACCTTGCAAAGTGAAACTTGAAGATATTGTTCCAATACTATCTAATCGATTACCTGGAGATAACATGGAATGGTTTGCTGCTGCCAAATGCCTTTAATCTTCCAAAGAGAGATTGCGTATTTAGATACAAAAAATAAATGAAAAAGTTGAAGTTACTGATCCTAATTTGCTTCAGTGTTTAAATATGAGAGATTGAAGGCTTCTAAGGTGACTAACAGACCTTTATGCATTCAGCTCTGTAATTCAGCATCATTTGGGTGTTGTTTATTTACCACTTAAAAACCCTTGTTTTTGAACTGGGTGCATGTAACAGGAACAGATGCATCATTACTTGAGGTTTTACAAACATTTGAGGAGGGGGTTGTGTTACAGTCAGCAACATTTGCAAAACAATCTGCTTCAATGTGCATGTGGAAATATTTGTAGAAGCTAATTTTTCCATTTTGCTCTGGGGAAAGTTTTCAACCTGAACACAACTGGAAATGAAAACGTTACTATCTCAGCTCACCCAATTCATTATAGTTACCTATTATACTTAATGCATTGTACAACACTGTTCAATTTTTGCAACCACTTAGCATTATTATTACAAGGGAGAGGCAGAAAACCCTTTAAAATGCTGAGTAATTGGAAAAAAAAATATAAATAAAGAAGTTCTGGTTTGCTTCTGAATGTTTTAGTAATGAAGAAAAATAGAGATTCATCAAAATCCACATTGCTTATGTGAGTTCAGCATTATGGAAAACTTCTACAAAATGCAAGCACAACGAATTTCTGTTTTATCATATGTTTGTGTACGTTTTAACCCTAATTTCTGTGTTTTCTTTTTGATTTCACAGGTTTGTGAAATCAGTGGGATTGCTGAAGAGCAATTTAATAAAAACAAAAGTACGTTGATCAAAACTACACCTGAACACTTGCTTTAGTTTATACATAATAATTTTAAATGAAGTTATTTTTCTAGTATCAGCAGTGCATAAGGGGAGCCACTCCGATACGTGGATGCTGTAATGCACTGAATCAGAATGCTTACTGTGGTACAGTGGCCTTAGGAAAGAAGGGTTGCTGTCACCATTTAGTATAAATTTACTCTAATATTTTTGTTTAGTTTTACGCTGTGCTATTTTGGATTGACATTTGATAAACTAAACTCTGCCTGACCAAAATAAACTTTGCCTAGAGACTGTATGTATTTTAACTTGTCTGAGGTTTTCTACTCATATTTTTGTAAGCTTTGCTCTTTTTTAGATTAACAGACATGAAAGTATTTTTCACCCACATCTGCCAGTCTGTCCTATTCAGATCTCACAGAGAACTTGCTGTTTGCTCATAGTCACCTGCAGAGAGGGGCTGGGGGAGTGAGTGAATGAGTGTGTGCAGGGAGCAGGAACAGGTGTTGCCTGTGTCACATAGCTTTGCATTGAGTTTATCTACTTTGATCTTTAAAACAAATAAGGACTGTTAAAAAGGGAACATACTGATAAGGAGTGGAACATGCATGCAAAAATAAAGTATCTAAAGGAATTTCATATGTAGAGTAAAACACTATTTACCCATATGAGTTACTGAAACAAATTTGCTGTTCAAAATAAACTAACTGATATATGCTGTATGCTTGGAAATTTAGAAGATGCTTTGGCACAGACTTCAAATGAAGGGATGTGGCAGTTGCATTTACTGATTTCATCTATGT